CGCCCGCCCGCCGTCCGTCCGTCCGTCCGTCCGTCCGTCCGTCCGTGCGTCCCCGGGATCCGCGGGGCGCCCGCCGCCCTCACCTCGGTCCAGAGTGAGCGGCTGGACCACCGTCAGCGTCGCCATGTCTGCCGCGGAGCCGGAGGGACGCTCGGCTTCAGCAGCCGCCGCCGCTCGTAGTGAGAAAAAGAGGAGGAGATTGGGGCGGGGGCGCAGAGGCAGGACGCCGAGCAGGGCGGGGAAGGCCGCGAGGCGGTGCTGGAGGCGCGGCGGCTGCGGGGCGGGAGCCAGATGGGGACGCGACTGTTCGCGGCGGCGGATCCGCAGACGCCGCGCGCAGCCGAGCAGGTACCGCGAGGGACCCGGGGCCCGCGCCCCGAACTTGGCTCCGCCGCGGGGGCGCGCTGGGCGGGGGCGCGGGGCTCCCTGTCCGCTTGGCACTCGTAAGATGCTCAGGGCAGGTCGAGGATGGAGAGGGATACGGATCAGGGACGTGGGGAGATGTTTTTTGTTTTTTCAAATGAAGAGAAATTTTTGACCCAATAATACCATGTCCTGAACTGTAAGAATTGTTGAGATGTAAAGGTAGTTGCTGTTAATTTCTGTTAAAGAGTTTTGGAATGTTGGCTTGTAACAGTATTAAAGATAACAGACCGAAGGCTAGAGTTCGGGAAGTGGCCCTTTAAAACTGGGATATAGACTATAACTTAAAAATAAAAAAAAATCGTGAAGATCAGTTTCTATCATTGAGTGTGAAAAGTATTTCGTACACACCGTTTTGAATTGATTTACAGCCAGTGATTATTCAGAGGTACCATGCTGATTAACATAGGCCAGGAATGGAGCCAGGATTCCTACTGCCACGTGCCAGGCCCTAACCTTGGGGTTCACTATGTCCCTGTGGCCTGTAATTGAGTGAGGGATTATTAAAAGGCTGACTTTAGAGTCCGTTGGTCAGGATTTAATTATTGGAACCTTTGAATACTGTGACTTTTTTGCCCCAACCAAAACGCTCCTGTCACTCTCTTCAAACAGTAGGAACTCATTTCCTGGCTAAGAAGCGAAGGGAAACCTATGAACATAAGGGGAATGGCTGTGGCTACAGGATTGGAAACGACAGAGCTGAGTCCAAGCCTTTCCCTGTGACAGAGTGGAATTGTTTTGGCTAGCGATAAATTCTTAAAAGCAGATACTGTTTTGCAGAAAAAAAAAATGTGCGTATAATTGATATCATTTTCTTCTGATTACCATATGGGTGATTTCTAAGTGTCTTTTTCATCTTATCTACAGAGAAGAAAGAAAAAGTAAAATTTCACCAATGATTGGGTAAGGCAAAGGTGATTGGCCACAACACACTGACTGACTCTAAAGATGCACGGAAAACTATAGCTCCATAAAACTTGCTTTTCATTAAGTGCCATAAAATAACTGGGATCTTGAAATAAAATGTCTTGGTCATGTGGTTGGCCAAGGTCAGTTACTGATTCTCAGTTTCCTCATCTGTCAAACAAGAGAAATAGCACTCAATCTTGTAAAGATTCAGTAACAGGAGAAGACTAACTGCAATTCCACTGAGTTTTATGAGGTTCTGATAGGATAATATATGTGACTATGCTTTGAAAACAGTAGAAAATATATAGTTATTCACATAGGCATAGAACCCACCTGAAGAATGTAGCAAACACTAACTGTTAGGCACTGTCAGGTCAATGAGATGTGACCTTTCCGCCCTCTTGGAACCCTGCTCAATCCCAGTTGGGAGACAGCGAGCAAAGCAGGAAATTCTGATCTGCTTGGGACCGAATTAAGTGCGGCACTTACTAACAGAAGCACTTGGAGAAGCCAGAGAGGGAAGCAGGAACTCTAGTTGTTAGCCATTATTCACATTTCCTAAATTAGGCAGCTGAAAGATGTTAAACTGTGTGTAATGATAGCAGTGTGTCCAAAATTTTGCAGAAAATTTCAAAGATCATTCAGTAATTGAGGTTGAAAAGAATGTACAAATCCTTTGACCACTAATATAGATTTTTTTTTTCTGGTACTTGGGATTGAACTCAAGACCTTGTGCTTGCCAGGCAAGTGCTTATTCTACTGAACCATTTCCCTGACCCTAATGTAGATTTTTCAACAACATACTTTATCAGGAAAGTGTATTTGATTGGATTAATTCAAAGTCTAAAAAACCTACTTGTACCTATTTTAATACTAGTCCCAGAGTGTGATGTTTATGAAAGCAAAGTTGGCGAAATTTTGTTTCCTAATGAATCGTCAGTGCCAAACATTTCATGGCATGCACCCTGATTTATGTCTTGAGATACCTCACTGAAAATCTGCTCTGTTCATTGTGCCTTTGGGGTACTATGTAGGACTTTTGTTTCTAAGGATTAAAAAGGAAAATAAGGGGAAGCAAAAACTATTATGCACACATTAGTTATTATTTGTCATAGCACAAGTTCAGTGGCTTTCACTTATACCTGTACAAGTTTAAAAGTGACTGATAAATTGTTATGTTAAAATTTGTATTCTGAAAGTACATGTCTCAGTTACTCTTCTCTCATTCCT